ATTATTTCCTTTAAGCAGAGGTACAACCAAATTGACTTTATGTTGACGAGTGTTATGTGTATGAATTTCAGAAACTCGTGTAAATTGCTCAGAAAGATATGGAGCAGCCTTATTATTAAGAATCTTATGGACATTACAAAGTCTTAGAAATTTAACTCGATCTTCAACCTTAAGTAGACCAAGGCTGGACAGCTCTTTGTGACCTACATGTGTCCGTGGTCCTAAATCAAGGATAAACCGATTAATTTTATTTTGGGTGACTTGAAGTTTTTGTTTTAAACCTTTATCAATACCTTCATACCATGAAGAAGCACAATAATCAAAAATGCATTGAATAAGGACCATAGATAATAATTTTCTCGTATTTTTGTCACCTTGCTTGACAGTAAAGAAACCATAGTCTTGCATTTGCCTTCTTGATAACACTCTTGGCAATATTATTACCAGAGGCTGAATTATCGAGTTCAACACCAAGATATTTGACAGACTGGGAACCTTTTAATGTAAGGCCACCAGTAGTGACTTCAAATGATTTTATACGTTTAAGTTTTTTTTTACTACCAAAAATTATTGACTCTGTTTTACTGAGGTTTATAGATAATTTGTTGTCAATAAGCCAAATTCTACATGAATTAAGAGCGTTACCAAGTCTATCGGCAATGACATTTGGATCTTTGTGCCAAAATACAATGGCACTATCATCAGCATATAAGAGTAATTTACATTCAGGGTTAATACTGACTATCATATCATTTACAAAGCATAAAAAAGCAAGGGACCCAAAATGCTACCTTGGGGCACCCCGCATGTGATATCCATAGGCTCAGATAATGAATCTTCAACTTTAACAACCTGGGTCCTATTTGTCAGATATGAATGAAACCAGTCTAAGGAGGTAACGCCCATTAGAGCAAGTTTCTCACATAATATCTCGTGATCAACAGTATCAAATGCTTTACATAAATCAATTAGGACCATACCAGTATGTATGCCTTTGGAATTATTAAATTTAATCGTATCCGTTAAATTAATTAAGGTACTTTTAGTTGAATGAGTTTGTCGAAAACCTGACTGATATTGATAAATGAGATTATTGTTAACAAGGTATTGTTCTAACTGAATATGAACAGATTTTTCAAGAATTTTAGAAACAATATTTAGAACGCTTATGGGCCTATAATTTTCTGGGTTTTACGGCATTTCTTTTTATACAATTGTAGACTCTAAAGTCAGCGAAAGTTAGTATGTACTTTACTGACACATTTTCTTCTTTGCACTTTTAACATTTCCTGTAGGAAATTCCGGTAGTTTAGTTTTTCCTGCTGTAATATAAAGCTACATTAATATATTTTAAACTAGTCTTCAACAAAGCTTTTTATTTATTTATTTTATAATAAATTTGGAAACTAATAATAATAATAATAATAATTTAACAAATATTTTGATGCATCATTAAATGTTTGAAGATACAGTTGGAGCAACCTGGTATTTTTTAGAAAGATCAAGCGATAGTAATAGACATACATTAATTTTAAATTTCAATATCACTTCACCTTTAACATATTGTAGACACTCGTCTCTGTTTTGTTAAAATCTCACCTTCATTGTTAATGTTTCAATGCATTTCGTCTTCTTGTATCACAGTAACTTTTGAACTGATGCATGTTGGCCTTCTCAACATTAGTCAACCATGCTTAGCTGATTAAAAGGTAGTTTTTAGATGATATTTTGTTGAATATTTTTGATATATGTTATTTATAATTTTGGTAAATTTTGTATTAACTGAATAATGGTGTCAACAATAAGTACTAGTCCAGTACTCTCTAATCATCATCGTCCTCATTGTCGCCATCGCCACCACTGTCGTCTTTGCTGCCACCATAATAAATCTAATGTCAATGCAGTATTAATAACGTGTTGGTCTGATCTTCATAGATCATTGTACCATAGTTCGTCTGGTATAAGCTACCCCTGTGAACACAAAATTGGGCCGATTTTTTTTAGGGTGGGCTAAAAGTCAGCTTTGTTACTCATTCAAATCATACATTGACAAAAAGCTCACATTTTAGTAAACATAAATTAAAGAAAAATTTTTTTTTTTAAAACGACTCTAGATTTCCAAGACCCATAGAGTTCCTTGCAGGGGTCGCAAATCACAGGAGTCTCCCAGAAATTGGAAAGGGCCTCCCATACTGCCACGAGCAAGCAAGAATTTAATTTTATTATTGTATTATGAATTGTCTTCCAGAAGATAGTGCCAATGGTGTATCACCATCCACAGCAAAATATAATTAAATCTCCTGGGATTTTGAGCTGAGAGGTTGCATTCACTGTGAATTTAGAATCGGGATCAAATTGAAAGAGACTGAAATTTCTATTCTGACCTACAGTAATGGCAACTAATATGTTGCTACTTCTTATAAAGTAATTACAATTGAGTAAAGCTTTGATTTATAAAGATTAAGGAACCAATACCTGATTATTAGCAATGAAAAGGAAAATTTTACTTAAAAAGTTTACATACAGTGTGAACATTAATCCCCATAAGCTGTCTTGTTTGCATTTTTTTTATTTGATGTATATGGCTAACTGGCCTCCCTAGGTTGTTTACAGAACTTTCATAAATAAAGAAAAAAAAAAATTATATTTAAAATATTTTTATTCAAGTGCGAAATATCATTATTTTATTGTTTGTAGATTACTACAAAGATACAGACTCATACCATGTTGCCTTCAATGAACTATGTTTATTCATCACTCAGCCTGTTCTATTTCTATGGCACATTACAAAGTAGCTAGTACAAAACTATAAATTGAAGTACAATGAGAATTTCTAATTAGGGAGTTCTTGCAAGCTTATTAAAAAAGATAACGAATACGGTTACGTCATCAATTTCTTAGATGACCCTTCCCGTACAGTAGCATCTAGGCGATTCATGTATTTTGCATGAATGAGGGATCATATTCAGGTCATACAACATATTGTCAAGAACGTTTTAATCATGAATGATGATAATGATAATGATTTATTCATATTCGTTATTGTTTTTATAAGGTTGCAAAGTCTTCCTATTAATGCAGTTTTACCAGAAAAGAAGGAATGTATACAGTACATAAGGAATGTTTATAACCTAATCATTACAAAATTAACACATGTACAATCTTCATGTAATAATTCTCTGACATACTGTGGATTCAATGGTCATGCATTTTTATGGTGCCTTCCACAATAAAAACAGTCTCAAGGCTCCGCTAAAAACTACAAACAAAATTTTGAACCTCAGATTTTGAGATGGCGTCCCCATCGCTACTGTGTACAAGCAGGTATCTCGGCATCAATATCCGAAGCTCTGGGAGCTTCCACCGAGGATAAGCCTGCAGCTCTATGTAAACTATGCACTGCTAAGTTTGCGACGCCATCTCAAGAAAGGAGGTGCTTCTTGTCGGGAAAAAATTAACAACTAAAATTATATATAAATAGGAATTAACCAAGTTAAACAAGAGATGGGTCTTCAATTTTTTCTCAAATGCTAAAAATGAGGATGCCTCACAAAGATCTGCATTTAAGGAATTTTACAAATTTGGAGCAGCAACAAAAAGGCCATGTTGCCTTAGGTCTTTAAATGTGATGACAGAACTGAAAGTATTCAGAAATGTATGCATCCTTTAAATCCTAACATGGTACCCAGCATGTTCATTGAGGTAAACAAACATCTGTATAAATATACCTTCTCATTCAAACAATGTGATTAAATAGAATTTGAACTTATACCCCTGAGAGTGTAAGACCAAATACTATTGCTATAGTAAGATATGCATAATAAGTACAGTCTGACCACTTTGGTATAAGATTATCATTGTACTTTTAAACTTGTTTAACTTGTTAAACAATCAGAATGCAATAACACAATACTACATGAATGAATGAAAGAAGAAAGGAAGGAAGGCTTTGTTTTCATAAATCAAATGTGAGATATGATGATTTTTTGCCTGCTGCAAAGGCAAGTAATTAGAAAGACATTGAATTAGCTTACAAAAATAACAAAATCTAGCTGAAACATAAGTAACATATAAACAACATGTATAGAAAACTTCTATCATGTGATTTAAATATATATATATTACATTTATTATATTTATGTTTGTATTTTTTTATTTATTATATAGCAGTTAGTGTAGTTGAATATTATACACTAAAGGAAATTATAATATGAAGGTTAGATTGTTGCATGAAAGAAATTCCAGATTTTTGAATGATTTTTTTAAAATCTAACAAGTATACTAATTGCTTATTACTAATGATAAGCAAATAAAAAATGTTGTAATGTTAGAAATGTAAATAGTATTGTGAACTGCAGTCATGGGTTGCTATAGTGACTTGATCAGTTCATTTGTGCACGTATATACATTAAATGGCTGTGTGTAAGCCTAGGCCAATGCGAATTGTTGCTGCAGTGAATAAATGTTTAATTGTGTTTGTTTTGTCATTAATTTCCTATTGATTAACGTTCTGATAAACATTAATCAAAAGAAACAATAATCTCATCTAAGCTATTTAACTCCACTACTATTTTAAAGAAAAAAAGGCTGATAAAGTGCCTTATTCAAAGGGAAATATAACAATCCTGTTGTCACAGGAATTTAACCCAGCACTCTGGGATTGGAAGGCATTATCTTAACCACCAAGCTATTCAACTCCACTACTAAGAGAAGGAAAGGCTGTTAAAGTGCCTTTAATCAAAGAGAATTTTAAAAAATCCTGATTTCACAGGAATAAAACCTAGCACTCTCAGATTGGAAGGCAGGCATCTTTACCACCAAACTATTTAACTCCACTACTACTGTGATGAGAAACACTGATAAAGTTCCTTTTTCAAAGAGAATAAAACAAGTTCTGCTGACACAGGAATTGAACCCAGGACTCTAGGATTACAAGCCAGGCATCTTAACCCACCAAGCTATTTTGAAGGGAAAGAAAGGTTGATAAAACCTTTGCCATAGAAATTGAACAAGGACTCTAGGCTTGGAAGGTAAACATCTCAACCACAAAGCTGTTGAACTCCACTGCTATTTAGAAGTAGAAATAGAAAGAATTGACAGATATACCATGGTTGCACCATTATCATAAGGAAAAACTTTCTTATACCTTGTTTTTTGAAATTATTTTTTTAAAGATCATCAGAGAAGGGTGGAAAAAAATAAAAAATAATTTTTATTCTTGTTTAGCAAATGGTTTTGCCAAAAACATCAAGACAGAGGAGAATATAAAAATAAACTTTTATTGGTGAATTGTGAACAGTGTAGTAATGGGATGGTTAATGATTAGGAAGAAATATACATAATCTTACTTTTGGAGATTTCAAGGCAGCAACTGGCATATTAAAAATAATGATAAACTTTTATATCTTTCTGAAATTTCCATTTTTTTGGTGGGCGTGCTAATTGGCTAGAAATAACATTTTATTTTTATTCTAAATCATTGTTGGCGGGCTTGCTAAACAAGGTATAAAAAAGTCTCGGCTGAGTCATTAGGAAAGTGGAAAAGTTGATTTTAATTGAACATTAATCAGTTAAAAAGAAAAATGAGAATAGATAGAAATAATATATAGGGTTTATGTATGTTAAAGGGAACCAAACCATACCTTAATCAATCTATACTGAAAATACTATAATAATCCTTCACTTTTAACAGTCTGGGGACAATGTGGCCCAACTGTTTCTAATGGATATAAACATAGAATACTGAGCCTAAGCCTTGGATATTCTTGCTAATGCCCAAAGATCTTATAAATTACAAGATAGCGTTCTCTAAGTTTTCTGCGTGCAAATTCTGTAATAACACAGTGTAAGCCGCCCTTTTGCAAAATTGATTGCTTTTCAACTTTGACATCAGAGATCGTTAACTAAAGATAGCGCATCTTTGTGCAAGTTCTATAACAGCCATGGAAACAACTAGGACGCCCTCTCAAGAGTGATTACTTTCTGTTTATTTTTACTGAATATCTACGCTTCTATTTGTTAATCGTAGAATTACAGAGAGCGCTATCTTATGTTTATAAGATCTTTGCCATGGTCCCACAAAAGGATAGCATAAATGTACATAAACACGTGTTTGTGGGACACGCATATTCCTGGCACTGTCGTTTTGATCTCAAACAGTAAACATAATATTAATGATACTAATGTATGTTGTCAAACAAAAAACTAATTAACAAAAAGAAGTATTTCATCTTTGGGTATTGAATGGAACATATTATGTCCAGGTGTACTATTCTAAAATAATTTAAATGTGTTTAATAAGAACCACATTTTTAATAATGTCCAAGGTAAATTTTTGTTCTTTTGGGTTCAAACAGAAACATTTTTTTTTTTTTTTTTTTTTTTTTTTTTTTTTTTTTAGGTTTTTATTGTGTTTTGTTTTTTATTAAAGAAAAATTTTTTTTAATGTGTAAAACCATTAGGGTAAGTCTCTAGTTTTCCACATACCCCAATAAAACAAGGTAGTTTTCTGACTTTTGGACAATGGCATTATTACAGGAATCTAATTTTAACAGATGCATGCAGTATATGTAACTCATACCTTCCAACTGCAAATTCACAAAATTAAATTGTATCCTGCCTATAAAATGTAATCATCCTTACCCCGATTTTTACGCTAGTTTTTGACACCTGTCGGAGTTTCCGACCGCTAGTTTTCGACCATTGGTGCTATTTTCGCATGAAAATACAAATTTATTCGCCTGACGATAATAGAAATTATTTCATGGAAAAGTATCCTTTTACTATAATTAAAGCGTAAAAAACTATAGTATGTGGTCGCATGTCTTAAAAATGTAGCGAAAAATGGCTACTCCGCCATCTTGGTTTTAGGACGCCCTCTATAATTTCCATAGTAATTAGACATAGGATGTTGAATTATAACCCAAACCATTGGCGTGTAACCTAAACTCCATCTTCTCTTATTTGCTACATTAAATCATGTGACAGTGGCCATGTTTCAATATGAACGGTTTTAAAGTTAAATTTTCTTTAGAGTGACACATGTGGACTGGTCACAATTGCTGCAGCTGAGCCTCCTGATTTCCTTAATCGTTGGGTTGTCCAAAACTAAGGTGGTCGAAAACTAAAGTCTGTCGAAAAGTAAGGACTTACCCGGTGCTTTGCTAATTTTCGACCTACAGGGTTGAAACAAGGTAATTTTCAGACTTTTGGACAATAGAATTACAGGAATCTAATTTTAACAGATGCATATATAATACAGGTTATGTAACTCATACCTTCCAACTACAAATTTACAAAATTAATTGCATCCTGCCTGTAAAATTTCATCATACTTTCGCTGATTGTTTTCGACACCCCGTCGAAGGCCTTTGCCCA